TTATATTTTTTGAATATTCGAAATTTCTTTCTCTCATTCAGTGACACTAGTTTCCAATATCCTGTTTTTTTTTTGTTTATTAGAAATTAAAATTAAAAAAGTAGTTTTATCCGTGAAGGTATGAACAGAATCTTATGATTTAAGTGAAAAACTGTGTACTACTTTTAATTATTTAGGTTTAAAACTTGGGCAAGGGAGATTATATCTTGAGTTATGTTATAAAAGGTTTTATTATGTTTAAAAAATATGATCTATCTCATTTGTTCTAATCAGAAATTAATGTAATCATTCAAAATTTGTGGAATGTAAGCTGTATAATTTTGTAATTTACATATGTAGAAAAGGAAAAAGTTTTGAAAAACAGTATTAATGAAAGAAAAAGGGAGATAACCAAATGATTCAATATTACTAAAAAAAATTTAATTCTAAACAAAGCATATGAAAGCTCAAGAGACATGACTTTTGTAGGGTACATAGCACAACAGTAGAAAAAGGACAATACATATTTACAATTATATACAGTTATTTTGTTGGCATGAGATTACATATGAATATATATCTATGTCACATGTTTACAAAATTGGTATACATCTGCTCAAGATGAAGTTTAAATGGTTAGCACACAAGTCACTTGGCAGTCATGTTTAGTTCTGCTTTGGATTTTTTTATTTTTTACAAAAGTCTTTAGAAATAATGAAAAAAATGTATATGAAATCTGAGCATTGATAGAAAAATCAAAAGAAAGTTAACACTAATAGAAAAGTGTGTTTGTTATATATATATATATATATATATATATATATATAACCCTTTACCTAACAAAATAAATTCAATTAGATTTAATTAAAGAAAAGGGTAAGAAATATGAATTTATAATTGTAAAGTCCTCAATAATGATCATTTACTTACAAAATTAAGTGGCTAGCCTACTTTTACAAGCCATTAAACCATATTCAATTTTCTCCTAAATGATATAGAAAAGGAAACAGAACAAAACAAAATTGCTTCATTTAGTTAATATTCTTCATTATAAAGAGGATTCTAATTTTATAAATTACCAGAGGTCTGTTTCAAATGACTGTATGTTGGGTATCTTTATTTAAGATGTATTCTCAGTATTTATATATTCTTCTGCATATATAAAAATGTTTTTAAAATACAACAATCAATAAGATATTGTGAGATAGCTGCTTAACATATTAAATATCATCCATTAAGTATGATGATGAATAAAATTCAACATGGGGAGAGAATGTTAATTTATTTTTTTTTTTTTTTTAAATTGGAATGTTTTTTTTTTCTTTTTTGTTCTTAATCTAAAAAAAAAAAAAAAAAAAAAAAAAAAAAAAATGTTTTTCTATAAAACAATTCAATGAATTCCATTTTTAAATTAACAGGAATTACTCATTGCAAATAATCAGTTTACAGACAGAAGACAGAATTAAGAAACTTGAGAAATGACATTATTTAAATAAAATTTTACTCTACAATTTTAAACTCCAGTCAGAAAACACAACAAGAAATTATTCAAATGTATCACTTTATAATTTATCACTATACAGTATTTTTCTCAAAGCTAAATGGAAAAATAAAACTTTTAATCAATATTTTGTATGTGTGTATTATGCACACACATTATATGTATGTTTGTGTATGTGTGTGTCTGAATCCTGAAGAACATTAGAGAATAAAATCAGGATTACTTGTAATTTAAGAAAATGTTAAATCTACTGAAAATGCATCTTTGCCTTGAGCAAGTGACAAAGAGTTTCATATTTAATCAAAGTTATCAAAGCTTGTATTATTAAAAACAGAAGTTGAATATAAGCACATTTTACTTCAGACTTTAAAATGGAGGGTGGAATAGAAGGGGAGCTATGATTAAAAAAAAAAAAAAAAAAACTTTCATAAGGCCATAAAGGTGATATTATCACAGTTTGTAAAATTCGGGTTACAAGTTATAAAAATGAAAAAAATAAATAAAAAATAAAATGGAGGACACATGCAGGCATTCTTAATAAGCAACAGTTATTGAAGAAAGGCAAAGAGAAAAAAATTGTAACAATTAAGAGGCAGGCTATCCAGTGTGTGTATGTGTGTGTGACGACAATGGTTATATTTTTGTCCAAACCTGTGACAAATTATTTTGAAATCATGAAAAAAGCATTTTAATAACCTTCAAAATTTTTGAAAAAAAAAAAATTAAAATCCCAGTTAATGATATTTTTTAACAATTTTGCAGCAATAAACAAAACCTTTTTTTTTATTTTAGTATTCTGCTAAAATGGTTAAAGGAAAAAAATTATCAGAAATGTATTTTAATTGAAAATCTTCCTTTGATACAAAATATAATTTTCCCCACCAATACAAGCATATAATAGACAGGGATCACTTTACAATTAATATTTAAGGAAAATTAAAACTAACACTTGTATTTAAGTAAATATTTTAATATATTTTTGATTTTAAATCATAATTATTCATAAGAATATATATTTCATTGTGAATTCATCAAGGAACTAGTGTTCCAAACAATGATGTTTTGGCATTGTTTATATATATATATATATATATATATATATATATATATATATATATATGTGAGAAGTTCACTTATATAACAGAAAATATGACTGCTCTAATGTGAACAATTAGTTCTTTTTTAAATTAAGTGCATTCATTATTACAGCCATTTTATAACTAGCTTTTTTGTTCTATTGATTAGTGTTTATTATCACACTGAATTGTGATGCTCTTTAATCACTAAAATGAAAATTGCAAGATCAGAAATAAAATTATTTTCTCATGTCAACTTCATATTTTATGGATATCTCTATTAAAAAGAGTAGTATTATAAAAGCAATCCTAAGAGAAAATCTATTAATCTCTTAATAGTTGGTACATATGCTCAATTTGGAATATGAAGAATAGCAATATAGCAATCATGATAGGTGGGTCCTTCTTATGTATTCTTTGTTTTATATCCAAAATTGTCATTGAAATAAATAATCTTTACAGCAGTAATTTTATATGTATATATTATTTATTTTTAAATAACAATCAGTTCAGGAGCTATAATGACAAAAAAGTTCCTTACTGTAAATGGTAAATGCATATTTGTTGACAAACTTTAGCATGAAATTTTTTGATTTTTGCATAAATTTTATGAAGAATATTTTTTCAGATTTGTCATAAATATGAATTGATCCTCATAAAAGAGTCCTTATTTCAAAATACAGGATAGACTAAAAGTTACTATACTGTTTTAACTAGTTATATTATAACTTGCATATATAGTTCTATTTTTTGTATTTTTTTATTTTTAATTTGCTTGTTGTACACCTTATTTAGTGAGAATATATTCGTGTTAATAAAATATTATATTAACATGAATTCTGGCCTACCTTGTATTGTTATAATGGACTCTTAAGAGTTAAAACAAATATTTTTGTTAAGAATCATGGTTAAGCTGAATCTTGATGCATATGCACAACTCACTGAGAAAATATTAATCCTACACTGTATATTCAGTTCTGTAAAAGTTGTAAACTAAAAAGACTTCATCATTGTTTAAATTTATTACCAGTGGTGTTTATAAGAGTGTAGGAATGAATAACAGACAAGATAAGCATCTAGAATTCAGGTGGAGGAGTGTGGGTTATACAATGTTTATGTTTTGACATTGCTGTCTTTTTTATAACTTCAAATGTTATTAAAATGTACAATTCCTATTTGAAATAGATGCCACATTTTTATTTATTAAACATATTGGCCTGCATATTTTAAATAAAAAACGTTTAAAAATGTCAAGATTATAAAGGTATGAAAGTGTCAGATTAAAAATAAATCCATTAATTCTTTAGACATTGCTGTCTGTAAACCATTAGAAATTAAAATCACTTATTAGAAATTAATATGAATTCTAACAAATTTGCTGTTTTTTTTTAATAAATTTCCAACTGATAAATTCAGATCCTATTTTCTTATTTAAGAAGTTACTTTGAAGTTGATTTTAAAAGGAGTAACTCTTATTCTACTTAATATGAAAAGGTAATTTTTAGCTGCATTTAGCCTAATAGGACCCACCTAATGAGATTTTATGAATTGGTTTGGCAGAACAATGGTAAGTGACAGCAAAATTAATTGAGCACAGGGCCACAGTGATTAACACTTAACAATTAAAAAGATTATGGCTCCTGTAGTTAGCTTGGTCTAAGTCCAGCTTGTTATCATTACTATGCTAGATTCAACCAATATAAAATTTAAGAGAGGCAATGATATCAGAAGAGAACTTGGATATGTTCATACTGGGTGTATATACACTACACAACTTGATACAAACTGGTATGTTTAATCATGAAACTAATCCCAAATTTTAGCTAAATACTATTTGAGCAATATAACTATTGCCATGTTGGACACAAACTGAATTTTAGTATTGAGCTAGAACATTTACCATTCTGCACAATAAGTGATGCAAAATATATAGGAGAATGAGGACAAGAATTGTGTTGAATATACCTAAATCTATAAAACATTCCAATGAAGGTTTTCATACTTCTAATGGTAATAAAAATAAAACAGAAACTTCCTGAGTAAATGTCTCATGTATTTAAAATGTTTATTGAAATGAAATGTGCTAAAAGTTAAGACGAAATAGCTCTGCCTGTAAGAAAGGCAAAATTTAAAGGAAAAAATATAAATCAATTTATAAAATAAATTTTTGTTTATTATAAAATGCCAATTTTTTAAGCTAGTCATGGCAAATAGCATTTGTTTGATGTATAAACGTTATAAAACTGAAAGTATTTGGGGAAAGGGAAAGTAAACAATGATCAGAGATTTTCTTTGTCATGTAATCTACACACAAGAATGTTCTCCTGTTAGGCCTGGCAGCATCGTTGGCAGGCTTAAATATTAAGAATTAAAAATAAAAAGCTAACAGTAAGAACTGCTGCCACTTTTTTCCCTTGTTAAGTTTGGTGCAGTTCGGCCTTTTGTTAGTTCCACTCGCCTTTGTGCTGGATAAAAACAAAAAACAAAACAAACATTAAATATAAATAACATTTTCAAATGTTTACATTTATGAAATTTTTTTTAGCAATTTTTTTAAAAGCTTAATTTGACAAAATATTAAAAAAGAAAGAAAGAAAAATCTACCTTATCTTTTGTTTGTCATGAGCAAGCAACAAAAGTTACTTTCAGCTTTGAATAGTCAAAGCCTGTATGTAAGTATGTTTACAATGAAATAAATATACATATTTTTAAATATGAGAAATAAAACATTTGTCTTGGTATTTTTACTACCTAGGAATAGGTAGCATATTCTTGGTATTTTTACTACCTAGGTAGCATATTCCATTTCAGGTTTTGAATTCAGAGTTTAATTCTAATCAGGCTGCCAATCAAGGCTAGAGAGTCTAGTTTGCTCTGCAATTTACACAGAGATAAAGGTATAGAGGTTCATGCCTTTGGCATTCCATTAAATAGAAAAATATCAAGCTTAAAACTAAATTGGTTGAAAAAACTTTATATTTAGTCTAAGCAGGTATAAAGCAAAGCAAGGATAGATGTAAAGCAAATATTTGAAAATTTTTATTTTTGATCAATTTAAACAAGTTAAAATATTTGCTAAAAATGTAAAGTAAATTAACAATCACAAAGTTACAATTTCTGGGATCAACATAACAAGAGCAAACTTAATGTTATAATTTACAGAGAAATATCAAGTATAGTTTAGTCTGACAAGGATAATTATAATTGCAATTCTAAAAAAAACAAAATAAAAATAAAGTAATTAAAAAACTCAAAATAAAAGAATTTCTTAGATGGTGTTCAATTTAATGCAAATAATTTTCAAATCAGAACAATAAACATTAGTCACTAGCATTAAAAGAGTACTATCATTAAGAACATTAGGTTATATTTTTCTACTTATAAAGAACAAAAATGCAAGTGAAATAAAGTTACATGCTCAAGATAAAAAGGTTTCAAATTTTGAGATCAAAAACATCTTACAATTTTCATTTTCTCATATTTTTTAATATAAAAAAAATTCTCACATTGTTTCCTTCTTTAAAAGTTTATAAAATCACATCGTTAAATTAAAATGCCTCAATGGCTTAAAATGAACAGTTTTAAAAAATTAAACCTTAACATTTGAAAAAAATTACAAAAAGAAATTGTTAAAATGCAAAAACTTATTTTGAACTTAGAAATAAAAATGAGAAAAATGTTAAACTTAGTTAAAAACATAAATAATTAATATTTAAATGTTGCAATAATCACAGATGAATTGTCAAATCATCAAATTTTATCTTTTGAGTCAAGCATAGATTCAGAACAAACTTCCTTAGCAGAGCACACCAGAAGTACCTTCATGATACTAGATTTTGTTTGGGGTTTTCTTGTGGGAATAATAGGTAAATTTCCAATGTACCAGACAATATTCATGAATATAGAATTCAATGAATGAAATTTAGCTTACAGTGTGCACATGAATGTACAACCTTATATGACTGACTTCAAATTAATAATTACTTAACCAACTTATATCTTCCCCCAGCTGTAAGTCCCACACTAAATAAGCCCGCAAAAGAGATTCATTAGTTTCAGCATAATTATTTTTGGATAATAAACAATATTTGCAATTAAAAAAGCTTTATAAAAATGTCTATACAAATTAAAAAAGTTATATATGTCTGTATGCAAACATGCAACATTTCTTAAATAAAATAAAATTACATTTGTAAAGAATTGGTACAATGTGAAGGAATACTAAAATAAAATGCAAAGTAATTACCTAATATAAGAGAAGGTACTGGCTTGTATTAGAACATTTTTCAAAAATATAACTACTATATTAATGCAAATTTTATAGTTTCAAAAGACTGTAAATAAAATTGTTAGACACAAACTAGTCACACTAAGATTTAATAAGAAGGAAAGGAAAAAATCACTTGAAATATTACATAGAATTAATATCTCAATATAGAACTAATAATATTACTAATATGTTATATAGGACTTACTAAGTTTACTTATCAAGTAAATATGATACTTTGAATTAAAATTACTAAATTAATCTTCCATAAATTTATGCTAAGCTAATTTAGTGATTTTGAGCCATTAAGGAAAAATAATTTAGAACCAAGATCCATTTTTGCAAAATGTGTGTTAAGTCTGAAGTTGTATTATTACAGAGAAGGAACTGGACACTTTAATTAGTTGTTTTATGATTAGAATAAAATAAAGATTAGATGACCGTGAAAGAAAAGCAAAGTAAGCATTATTCCATAACTTAAAATAGGTTTGCTATATGAGTAAACAAGGATTTTACGATAATTACTTGTAGTAGTTAATGCAATCTAAAAAGCAAATTAACATAAAAATTCAAAATAATAATCGTAATGAAACATTTTAACAATTAAATACCTATTTGCTTTTTCATTGTATATACATTCACACACACACACACACACTAAATAGCAAAGTTTAAAAAGAACTTATCTGATTTAAATTCTATAGCTTAAATATTCAAAGCAACTGAAACTAAACTATAAAAGTTTACAATAAAATATTTTGTCTAAACAATCTTATAACTAAACAAATATCTTAAGGAATGAGAATCATTTTATGTGGTCAATTTCTATAAAATAGTGGATTATGTCCGATAATATTTTTTTAGTGCTGGTGTCTGTTCAGAGTGAGAACACTGAAAAAAAAAAAGGCGGTGACAGGGATAGAAATAATAGCACACCAATTATTCTTGTTAATGTTTATCACAAATCAATAGCACTTTCAATGGATAATAGGAAAACAGTTTTTACTGAAATTTGTAAGCATAACTAATCCATATCTTCAGAGTAAATTTACCCAAAATATTTCTAGACCAAGAACATTGCTTCTTGTATCTATTTCCTTTAGTAAAATCTTGGCATTAAAAGATCCATTTTATGAAAGCCAGAGTGAAAAGTAACCATGCTTGCTAGTATAAGCAAAAATTCAAGACTAGAGATTTTATAGCTGTATCCACTATTTAAATTTATAGCAGTTTCTTAATAAGAGATTGTTTTGGTAAGAATCCTAGCTTATTCAAGCAACAAAGACAATCTAAAATCCTAACTACTTTATTGCATTCCAGGTCACTGTATAGTTAAAAAAAAAAAAAATAAATATATATATATATATATATATATATAAATAAATTGAGCACAGCATTTTGTCAATAGAGTATAAGGAGAGACAAGAGACTAACAAAGATTTTTCAAAAATTAAAACTTATTTTTAATTACTAAGATATTTAATTAAGTAATTAAAGTAAAATTAAACCTAAAAGATATATAAAATATTTGAAACTCTACAATATGCATAAGTCAATGATTTTAAATTATACAATATTTACTATAGCTTTATTTTTATTATAAAATATCAAATACATTAACAGACTTGACAAAAAATAAGTTAAAATTATCTAGAAATAGAAAGTTAATACATTAAATAAAAGATATTTATTATATAATTTTATAAGTATTTGATTAATAAATACATTTATAAAATCCAATATAAAAATCAAAAACCAAATTAAAAAAAAAAAAAGAAAAGAAAAACCCAGAAACATTAGTACCAGCATATTTAAGAGACATGAATCAATCTAATTTCATATTAGGTTCATGCAATTATCTACACATCTATCAAAACATGCAAACAGTTAAACACATTCAATATTGGTTACAACAAAGGATACAAGAAAAACTCAAGCATTACAAAAATAAAAATAATTAGTAAACATTGTTTTGTGGAGAGAATCTAGTAGAATGCAATTGTGTTTCATATTATTAGAAAAAGAAATTTTTTTATGTACACTGAAAGGAAAGCCCATATACACAATGTTTCTCAGCATATAGCATGTATCTATAATTTCATAAGGAATATTTAAGAAAATACTAAAACCTACAAGTACAAATTTTCATGAGCCTTCCTCTCAATAAGGTTTTGGTCAAAGATGGAAAATTACTGTATATTTTCCAACTGAACTTAAACAAAATATAGAACTAACATTAGAAATACCAGTGTTGCTCTCTCACAATCACAGGATTGTTGAAACGATATAAGCTGATGAACATATTACTCACAGAACTAAATAAGCTGAATATAACTGATACATGAATTATTCAGTAGGTTGTTTTTTTGATGTTATGACCCATAATTTAGACATTTAAGAGTTAATGATGGAGCCAAGATGGCAATATGCTTAGATATATTATCAGTAGTACTCCTAAATGTACTCTAAATTTTGAACATAATATCAGGCAGTAGATTAAATTATGGAAAATATAGTGAGCAATATATTTGTGAGGTGTTTACAGCATAAAAAGAATTCTGGTGGAAGTCTAAAAGTTTCTTAGGACTATTAAAAGAGTAGTTTTGTTTAGGTGTTAAAATCAACAAGCCATTTCTTGCACCCAGTTAACAACAGGTTATCAGTCAATTTTGAGATTACCTATCAATTTGACCTTATTAAACCTATCAGACTTACTAAGACAGGAGTAAATAGTCCTGTGTCATCATTGTGGGTATCAAGAACTGATGACATTGATAAGGTCATTAATGATAATTGGGGTCAAGCCAGGTCCAAGGATAGAGACCTGGATGATACTCACATTAATGTAAAAAGATCTAGAAGTGTGGTCATTCAAGACAACTTTCATTTCATGATTTGATACCCTAGCCCTTCAACTTGTGAACAAAACCAGAATGAAAACACCTTTGAGATATCTGAAGCAGGTCAGATTTTCAGCAATATTAATTAACACATCAGTTGACCTAGAAGCAAAAACCATATTGCTTGTCTGAAAGAAGACTATATAAGATGAGATGATTAACCAAGTTGGTGTTAATTAGTGTCTCTAGGAGTTTGCCAAAAACAGGTAAAAAATTAATAGGTTAGAAGGATCAGATGGTTCTATATATTGTAAACAAAGCAATTTTTCAAAGAATTAATGCATTTCTAATACTTCAAATGATATTTTTAGTGGATAGGCAAACAGATATAATTCACATTGTTTAAAATAAAAAAAATGGGGCATCTATTTCAAACACAGGTATCATTAAAAATAACATTTGAAGTAATAAAAAAATCCAATAGTATATATATATATATACACACACACACACACACAGAATTAAGAAAACTTATTTTGATATTTTGCCAATCAATCCTTTCTGGTGAAAATAATTGACAAGCAAAATATGTAAAAATAATATTTTGCAAATTGTCTTATATATTTACAGTACTGACCAAAAAAAAGTGACTCAGCAATAATTTTTTTCAATTATTTTCAACTTTAATTACAAGTAAAAAATTTTATTTTATTTTTTCAATTAAAAATATACATATTACTAATAAAGTTAAAGATAATTAGCAGATATTATTTTAAAAGGAAAACAAAGAAATTACCATTTTTGAGTATTTAACAAGTTATCTACTGTGCAAAAAAGTGTCTCACTAAATGTGTCATTATTTTAAAACACTTTGTAATTTTATTTCCATAATCTTATTCCAGAAAATTCTGAAAAATTCTAGAAAGTTGTAAAATTATTTTAAGATATATGAAAGAAACCAAAAGTATAATTAGTGATTTGTTATGAAAAGCATACACCATAACCTGTTAAAGAAGCAATAGTTGCCATATCAAAAGTTGTTAAATCAACTTGAGAAATTGCAAATAGTGTCAACACTTCTTAATCAGGTTCTTTGAGGGTTTTGAGAAGCTTCAATTCCACTGAAACATTTGTCAAGGTAGAAAACAGAGTGTAGAAAATACAAGATCAATAAGAAAACCTCCTGCAAAATCATTAGAGAAATTAACCAAAACCAGTCAATTACTAGTACAGAAATTGCTGCTACCTTGAAAAATGATCTTGAAGTAAGTGTCAACTTCTCTACTGTACACAGTAACCTTTAACTTTGTAGCCTTCTTGAATGAAGGTTACAAAGCCTATTTAAAATTTTTTAAGCCACAAAATTAACTTTTAAATAAAACACATAAGGCTAAATGTTTAGTATGGGCAAACACACAAATCCTTCACTGAGTCTGATTGGAAAAATGTTCCTCCAAAAATTGAAATTTTTTTTCAAAAGATAAAAGAATGAAAATCAGATGGAGGAGCAAAGAAAAACTTTTAAAAATGACAGTTAATACTGTGAAGCATCCTGTCAATTTTATGGTTTGGGGTTACTTCTTATTCAATGGGACTGTATTTTTCAAAGCAGTAGACAAAACGCTCAACAGCACTCAATACTAAATACCTGATTGCTGGCATCTGCCAAAAAACTTGAAATTTATTAATCAAATGTTATTTTTATGCAAGACAATGCTCCCTGCCACACATCAAAGCAGATAAAAAAAATTACTTTTCTGAAAAAAATTCAATATTATGGTATGGTTGACCTAAACTCAATCGAGAATTTATGGAGCATAATAAAATTGGGACTTTCGATGAAAATCATTCAAAACAAAGAAGCTTTGATTGAAAATTTTATTATGGAGTGGAACAGTTTGCTAGGTGATGAGATCTACAAAAATCTCATTAAGAGTATACCAGACTGAGTCATCAAACTTCTGAAAAACAAAGGTGGAAGCATAAATTACTAATGGAATTTTTCTTTTGTGTTTTTATTTTACTAAATTTTATTTTTTAAGATTAACTTTGTACATAATTAATACAGTTTAAAAAGTGAGTCACTTTTTTTGCACAGTAAATATTTACCTTAAAAACAAAAAATAACATGCTTTAGGTTTGTTTAAGAATTTTTTTGTAAAATTCCCTTACTTACATGCAAATTTTTTAAAATTATTTTTTTATCTAAAATAAAACAAGATTTTTTCCAAAAAATTTGACTGAGTCACTTTTTTTTGCACAGCACTGTACCATTTTATTAGATCCAAAATTTATTCATATATTAGTCTGACTGATAATTTAATGTTTTTATTTATGCAACTGACATGTGTGAATTCTGAATTCTAAATTATTAAAAGTAAAAATATCTAAAAGTTAACACAAAATAAAGCAATCAGCGTGAAGCCTTATCTCCCTTCTTTAGTAATGAAATATGGTAACACAAAACCTGTTTGCATATTGAGTAATGACTCCTTTTAACAATGGAATATTTCATTATTCAAAAGGGAAGATCAAACTACATGACTGATTATTATAAAGTTACATTATGTTTTATTTTACAGAAATAGATTTAACTATTTGTTAAACTGTGTCATTTTATTTCTTTTTAATGAGCATTATGCACAACATCACTATCAAATCCCCCTTTTCACAAAATGCAGAATACACATTTGGTTACATTCATCACAGTTTTGGTATGCAAACTAGAACTCTTTTACTCCTTTTAAGGAATCACATTTTCAATTAAAACCCAGGAAAATAATCAAAAATTCATTATTTTTTTTATTGTATAATTATATAAATATAGGAGAAATCAGGTGACGTTTGCCAAATAGATGTTTAGATGTTTATTCTAGTAATGGTAAACTGTAAAACTTGGCTAAAACTCAAATCATTATTGTTGAAGATGTAGAATTATTTGTCGGAAAGAATTTAAAAAAAAAACAAAAAACAACAACAAAAAGCTGAAATCTGTCTTATATGGTGGGAAACATGGTACATTTGTCTTGAAATAGGAAAATAACCTAAATAGGAAAATAACCTAGTATTTTATATATTTTTACAGTTTTACTTTTCAGCATTCACATCTTTCAGTCCTGGAGAATTTTTCAGCCAAGTTACTTAAATAACAGCAATATTTTAATTTTTTTATTAGTTTCCTTTCATCTTATTTTTATTGATATGATAAAACAGCTTTACATCCTAAAACAATTCTTATTTTATTTGTATTTATTTAATGTTGTTTGCATAACAGCTGTTATAGAACATGAACAGGACAAAAGTTATATGAGGAGTCAAAAAATTAATGATATTAGACATTTAATAGGTGTTGTGATTTAAAAAAAAAATCTTTCATCAGGTTATGACTGAGTCACAAAATAAAAAATTCTTTTAATTACAACTGTATTAAAAATTTATATTGTATTAAAGGCATAAATTGAAATTTGTCTACAGTAGTTTTAACTATTTTAGTTACATCAATATTCCAATCTAAACATGTATTATTTAACAGTACCAGAAACAAAATGGAGTGGAGAGGTTCAATAGGTAAAATTTTAACAAGTGGGAAAAACTTGGAGAGAAAAAAATGTCAAAAGTCAAAACTATTCTCATTAGAAGCACTATATATCTCACATGCATATAAATATATTATTATAAACATCACTTTCATGACAATCCATGCAACAGAGAGATTATAAGTATCACCTCAAATTCATAATCTTTACTAATCATTGGCGCAGTACGCCCCTGACGTCTTGATCTTGAAAGTGTTGACAGCCGGTCAGCTACGAGAGGGGGAAAGCAATGACAATTTTACTATTTCTTGAGAACAGACAAAATAAAATATAAAAATCAAGATGGGACAAATGAAATAAAATAAAATAGAGAATAAAAAGCACAGAGAGAAGACATGTAAAACAGACAAAAAAAAAAAAAAGGAACAGAGAGAGAAGACAAACAAAAAAAGCAACAGAGAGAGAGAAGACAAACAAAAAAAGCAACAGAGAGAGAGAAGACAAACAAAAAAAGCAACAGAGAGAGAGAAGACAAACAAAAAAAGCAACAGAGAGAGAGAAGACAAACAAAAAAAGAAAGAGAGAGAGAAGACAAAAAAAAAAGAACAGAGAGAGAAAGACAAACAAAAAAAAAACAGAGAGAGAGAAGACAAACAAAAAAAAAAACAGAGAGAGAGAAGACAAACAAAAAAAAAGCAACAGAGAGAGATGAGACAAACAAAAAAAGCAATTTTTTTTTTTTAAGACAAACAAAAAAAACAACAGAGAGAGAGAAAAAACAAAAAAAAAAAAAAAAGAAAACAGAGAGAAAAAAGAACAAAGAAAAAAAAGCAACAGAGAGAGAGAAGAAAAACAAAAAAAAAAATTGACAGAGAGAGAAGACAAACAAAAAAAAGCAACAGAGAGAGAGAAATTTTTCAAAAAAGCAACAGAGAGAGAAAAGACAAACAAAAAAAAGAACAGAGAGAGAGAAGACAAACAAAAAAATTCACAGAGAGAGAAAAGAAACAAAAAAAAGAAACAGAGAGAGAAACAAAAAAAAAAAACAACAGAGAGAGAAAAGACAAACAAAAAAAGGAACAAGAGAGAAAAAAAGTGAACAAAAAAAGGAAATAGAGAGAGAAGACAAACAAAAAAGCAACAAGAGAAAAGACAAACAAAAAAAAGCAACAGAGAAAAGAGAAGACAACAAAAAAAAGCAAAATAGAGAGAGAAAGACAAACAAAAAAAAAAAAAATTTGAGAGAGAGAAGACAAACAAAAAAGGAAACAGAGAGAGAAAGACAAACAAAAAAATAAGAACAGAGAGAGAAAGACAAACAAAAAAAAAAAAAAAAAAGACAAACAAAAAAAGGAACAGAGAGAGAAAGACAAACAAAAAAAAAAAACAGAGAGAGAGAAAACAAAAAAAAAAACAGAGACAGAGAGAAGACAAACAAAAAAAACAACAGAGACAGAGAAAAAACAAAAAAAAAGGAACAACAGAGAGAGAAGACAAACAAAAAAAAGCAACAGAGACAGAGAAGACAAACAAAAAAAAGAACAGAGAGAGAAGACAAACAAAAAAAATTGTTTAAAGAGAGAGAGAAGTGGTTAACAAAACAGAGAGAGAGAAGACAAACAAAAAAAGCAACAGAGAGAGAGAAGACAAACAAAAAAAGGAACAGAGAGAGAGAAGACAAACAAAAAAAGAACAGAGAGAGAGAAGACAAACAAAAAAAAGTGATTTTTAAGAGAAGACAAACAAAAAAAAGCAAAGAGAGAGAGAGAAGACAAACAAAAAAAACAACAGAGAGAGAGAAGACAAACAAAAAAAGCAACAGAGAGAGAGAAGACAAACAAAAAAAGCAACAGAGAGAGGACAAATAAGAAAAGACAAAAGCAAAACAAAGTATAGCAAAATTAGAAATATTTTGTCACAAAATGTGTTTAAAAATTTTAGTATAAAGAATCTTCAAGATACTTGACAAGTTTGAGTGTGAAACTGGAAGACAAGGTATATTTTCAAATTTTTAACCTGAAGCTGAGGAGTCCTATAACCACTTTAATTGTATTGAAAAGTTTTCCCCAAACAAACATCATTAATTCAATTTTAAACAACTCTATTGTAAATTATTTTAAATTTGATATATATGTTATATATTAACTATTGCTATACTTGATAAAGAGTGATTGCCTTATTACCTCCTGCAGCTCTTGGTGTCCGTCTTTTGCCTTCACGCTTTTCTCTGTTCATAAAAGCTGTACCACTGTTTAATGCTTGCAACAAATTGTCAACTACTCCATGATTTGCCTCATCTGTAAATTAGAAAAATATATAAAATTAACATCAAAAGAAAAAAGTTACTAACAAAATTGAAAGTTTTTTTTCCTTTAACAAAGTATATAACATGCTTCTAAGATTATATTGAAAAATAAGACTTTCTATTTAGATTAAAAGCTGCAGTTTTATCTAAGAATGTATCATAAAAAAAACAAATGAATCATTGTTAAATAAGTTACATTTAAAGTGTTCATCCAGATAACAGACATATATATAGATAGCAAACCAAATGTCTAATTCATGCTTTTTTTCTTTAGAAATACAAAATACTGGTCCAAATTTATCTGCTTACATTGAGATCATTTTAGCATCTAAATGTTTATGTTATTATTGAGAGGAAAGATTAAAGTATATTTTAATTATTTTTTTAAAATTTTTCCTTCTTTTTAGAACATTCTAAATTTTGATTAAAAAGACCTTGTTTCTCTTTGTGTCACCGGAACTAGTAAAATAACAAAATTTTAGCTCATTTTTTTTCTGTATGACAGATATTAATTTTGAAAATCTTGCAAAATAAAAATAATTGTTGGATTTTAATGAAACTTTCAAAACTATTCATGGATGATGGAACTTATTATAAATATGTTTTTTTTTTTTAAAGTCATGGCAAAAATTTTTTTTCATATGTATACCCCCCCAACTAATTTTGACCTTTGACTCTATAATTTCAATTTTGGTCAGATAAGTGATTATATTAGTTAAAAGCATAAGGCTTTGAGGAAACCAAATCATGTTTTTTTTTGTTTTTGTTTTTTTTTAGTTGGACCACCTCTACTTGAAAATCATCTCTGAATTGTAACATACAAAACTCAATAAAACAAAAATATTATTTAATTTCAAAAGCTTTTAATTGCTTTTATGTATTTTAATGTACATGGACAATATTGTTTGAAATTTAAATTTGTATTTTATGTACACTTCTGATAAAATTTCATAAGAAAGGTACCTATAAATTAATTAGATAGCTTTCTTATGAAATTTAATCTCACTCTCAACAGTCTTATTTTAATTTCTTTATAATATATTTTCCATAAAGCATCGTAAATGTAAAGGTGAAAGCTAAGTACAAAAAAAATTAAAAAATTAGAGTGCTAAGTTTTCCTTAAAAATAACGAGGTAAATAATTTGTTCACTTAAATCTAAATAACTTTACATCTCTCCTTCTGTAGAAGGAATTATCCTCACGTAAGCTATCAAAACATCATGAATGCCTTTCGTCATCTTTTTTTATTATCGTCTGCTTTGTTTTATTTTCAAAATACGTCTTTTTGGCACAGAAACTAAGTTAAGCTTGGTTCAAAATATTTTCAATAAATATTATAATTTCTGATTTTCTTAAAATAAGTTTTGAAAAAAATTTTGCTGACTAAAAAAACAAGATTTTTAACGAAAATTTTGGACGTGCTAGGAACAATTAAAAAATGTAAAAAATACTCCAAGAATATTTTGATCTTTCCTCTTAATAATAACATAAATATTTAGATGATAAAGTTTTGTTTTTGTCAAGTTTGGCATCTTTTTCGTCATGCTATACTCTTTTTAGCGATCTCATGAAGAAACCTATGAAAACAGTTTGTCAAAATCTTTATCAAACTATTTTTTGAATATTAAATTTTTTTTACTTTTTAGAACATTCAAAATTTGGATAAAAAAATGTTTTTATTGCATCAACGGATGCACTAACTTTTAACATAGCAAATTTTAACCTCTTTTTTGTAGTAACAGACATTAATTTGGAAATTCTTGTAAAAATCAAATAATTATTAGATTTTAATGAAATTTTCAGGACTTATTCACAAATGAATAATAAAAATGAAAATATTTTTTAAATTGTTTTTATTAGAAAATCTTGGTAATTTTTTTTCTTTAAACATGTGCTTCAACATGGTAATTTTTAGTGACTATATTAGTTAAAAGCAGATTTCTTTGAAGAATTTAAATCAATGAATTTTTTTTCAAAATCAAGCCCCATCTTACCAAATATCTGTTTGAAATTGAAAAATAGAAAACACAATAAAACTAAAACATTAATTAAGTACAAAAGCTTTCAATTGCTTTTATGAATAAAATATATATTAAAGATAAGATTGTATGAAGGTAAAAAAATTTTTTTCAATGAAAAATGAATTTTTACAAGATTTGTTTACATTTTTTTTTTTATAATTTTAAATTAAATTTATTTTAACTAAAATTTACACGTTATGTTTTTTTTTAGTTAGTATTTAACATGTAAATATCTTGATTAATTTATTTTTAAGCAATTTTAGTTAAATGTTATTTCCCTTAGTTTTTAAACGGAATTTTAGAGTTTCAATCAATATCTGAAATTATTCATACCGTATTTTAGGAGGTGTTTTTTTGTAAATAGTCTAAGTCATTTTAATCACTATTGTATACATTTTGTTAAGTGTAGTTAAGAAAAAATAAGAATAAAAAGGAAAGTTATAAAAAGAGAAAGAACAAACAAATAAGGTATAATAAAGAAGTTAAAAGGGTAAGAGGAGAAAGAAAAGCCATAAGACGAGCCAATATAATAAATCATTCTTATTTTATTTATATATATATATGTTGGTTTGTTTTCTTCTCTTCTTCCAAAAAACATGTTTCAGAAATATACAGTTTTGCAGGATTTTTAAAACCCAGAAATACTTACTGGGAATACTAAATTTTAAATCTTTTAGCTTTCAAATAAAGCTAAAATGAAAGTTTCAAGAAAGCTTTTTAATTTTTTAAAATTCATTTGAAACCTTACATATACCAAATTAGTGTAGGTACCTATTTAAGAGGTTTATTTACAAGCACATACACACAGTTGTACACAACTGTTGAGCTATCCTATCACTCAAGTCCACTCCTCATCCTGAAGACTTAATACTGTCTGGGAATACACTGAGTGTACTTAGACCACTATATTTAAGGTATCATCACATCATGTTTTTCTTTTTAGATTGATATGGATTTATAAGTCCAATCTTGTAGGTTTGATCACTGGTCTCTTGGATCTTGTCCTCAGTGTGTTTTGTACTAAATTTTCCTTTGTTTTGTGATAAAACGTGTGTGTGTGTGTGTGTGTGTGTGTATATATATATATATATATATATATATACACACACACACACACTTGGTCCATCCACTGCAATCAAATGGTGTATTCTTTCTTATGGTCCCATTGCACACATTGACTAAGTAAGATCAAGGTGCCGATGTTTTCTTTGTCACAGTACCAGTGACTTTTGACAGTTACCGAAATTTGTTTTCCTAATGGGAGGCTGCTAAGATCAAATGCACACTGGTGCCCCTATTGTAGTGAATCTGATCAGCACTTTTTCCTTAGCTTTGATGACAGCACTGACTGGTAGTGATGGGTCCAATTGCAATGGCTGAATTGGCCCCATAAGTATGCATCCCATTATTAACTGAGCTGGACTATATTCATTCTAGAGCAGAATTATCCTGTATACTAGCAAGGCAAGGTAAGGATCTCTTGCTTTGTTCAGAAGATTCTTTATTGCCTGTACTGCCCATTTGGCTTCCCTGTTGCTTTGTGGATATCTAGGACTGCTGGTCACATACTTTAAGGCAAAAGTTGAAAAAAGTTACTAACGTGTCTGGTACTATGACATGCAAACATTGATTTTAAATGAACTGTCATGTCAGATTACTGAGTGAGTGAGGTTTTCAGTTTCTATAAATATATAAACAGATAAAGTTTACCTTTTAAAGTGAAAATGTTTGTCTCTAATTTCTGCCGGGATCTGCATGCTCATGTTAAGATGCTCTTTTAAACAAGAGCTAATTTGATCACTAATTCAATTAACTCTGACACACTCTGATGTGCACACTTTCTGTATTGATGACCCTCAAGTCTCTCAATGCCTAGTATCTTTAAACAAGGATGCATCATGTATGATAAGGAAGAACATTTTTAACACTTATATTTACATTATTCAAACTAATTCTCATTGCCATATTTACGTTTCAGTCGTTGTATGCTCTGGCCTTCTTCAGGTAGATTATTCTAGTTTCGGATGTCCCAGTTATTTCCCTCTAACTCCAATTTTTTTTGTTCACCACTAGCCTTTGGGTTTAGTCACTGGATCTAACCAATGTCTTTATTCACTGGGCCATATGTCCTTGAGGACATCTGTGTATGAATTTCTGGGACTTATAAAAGCCTAATGTCTCAGCAAGCATTTTTTTTTTTTTTTTTTTTACAATTTTTCTGTTATTATTGCATTTTTTTTTAAAACCAGAGCTTATATTGCAATTTTTGTGTTGTTATTCATTGCTTTTCTCCACAGCTGTTTAAAACACTTGTCTTTGCCAAACTGTTCCATGAATCCTCAATGTCTGAAAATGACATCATCAAGATGAAATAATGGAAACTGACTGTGGAAATCACAATTATGTGCAACAAGTTTTTGATCAATCAATTACCATCTAGATGTTTTTGGGACATGTTATTCGATCCAGATGCACATGGAATTATTCACTGGTAGTTAATCTTTGATTTGTCTGTGAAAAATGTTACATGGGGGTTAGCATTAAGAAATGTGGTCAGCTAAACTGGGTTTTTCTATTTACCCTTGTGTTACCACTTTATGATGTTCTTGCAGTCTTACCTTAAGAGGGGTAGCTTGTTTCTACTTATTTCCTACCACAGCTGCACAAGATGGTATACACACAGTCCTTAGTCATGTTCTCTATGGGAGGAATCTTACTCAGAAGAGGTGTCTGCAAAGTGTTGAACCACTTTTGAAGGTTGTCCTGATGTTATATGGATCACAAATCTTTTGTACTTTCTCTGATAATCCCTTTACATAAGGTAGGCAAACTGAAGTTGTAATTTAAATCACTGAATTTTTTTTCAAAATCAGGCACCATCTTACCAAAAATCTATTCAAAATCGAAAAATAAAAAATGTAACAAAACTGAAGTGAATGTGGTTATCTTCTTTCTTGTCTCCTATTCCAGTTTGTCATGTACCTGGGGTAGTTGTTACATTGTAGGATACTGTTTATACTGACCATTTCTTGCTCATATGTCTCTGGGTTGCCACTTATGACTTTTGCTTGATATTGTAAGCAGCAGATGATCCCTTTCTTTACAGTGTATGGGTGGTAGGAGTCAAAGTTGAGGTATTGTTCGGTGAATGTAGTCTTGCAGTATATGGACATCTTGAACCCAGGCTCTGTTCACAATATTAGCACATTCAGGAAGGCAAATTCGTTGTTGTTTTCTCTCTCCATTGTGAACTCTATCAATGATCTTATTGAGTTCACATGGTCCAGTAGTAGCTGGACATCTTCCTGATGTGGCCAGAGTATGAAGGTGTCATCTACACATCTCAGCCATAGGATTGGCTTTAGTGATGTAGTTTCTAATGCCATTTCCTCAAAGTATTCTATATATAGGTTTGCCATTGCTGGCGATAATGGTGAGCCCATTGCTAAGCCCTCATCTTGAATATGAAATGTATTCAGGCTGTCTGTCTTGACACATCCACATGACTGCAGAGCATATATCTGCTTTTAAGAGATTGTGCATGCTTTCCAGGTAGGAAATGCTTGCTGGGAGTTTTTTTTTAATATATGGTCCACATAAATGTCAGTTCTTTTCATGAGAACAGTGTCTGCTTTCCTTTACCGATGCTCAGGACAGTGTGTCAGCTGTAATGAGAGATTTCCCAGCAACATGAAATATACTGCATGAATACCTCATTAATCTCATCTGGAAGTGTTGTATTCTCAAAGGTAAAGCATCCAAAGTTTAGTTTCCAAGGAGGAGCAGCAGTGGTTTGCAATTGGTTTCAAGAAGTTGGTCAATAATGCAATCTTTTTACATTTTGCAGGCCCATGTTAATGCTAGTGCTTCATTTTCAACTTGAGCATACCTCTACTCAACTGGTGAGTGACCTGAATGTGTAGGCAACAAGCCTTCACTCTTCACTCCATTTTTGGAATAAGACTGCTCTCAATCCAAAACTGGATGCATCTGCTGCATTTAGTTTCTTTGTTTGGTTTGTATAGCGCTAACACTTGCACATTTAATAAGTCTTCAAATTTGAAATTGTTCAGTTTGGCCCAGTTATCACTCCAGAACCAATAGTTTCTTTAGGAAATCAGGTGTATCAGGGGTTTGTTATTTCAGTTAACTGAGGAATGAATTTAAACAAGAATCATATTTGTGTGTCCCTATATTAGAACAACTTTCATGCTTTCAGTAAAACCTCTTTGGCCATCTTATTCTGAAAGTGCTCTAGTGCTGATGCTATCCTAAATGGCAGCCTTTTGAAGAAATATTTCCAAAAATATGTGAATGGTGACTCCTCAGCTAGAGAGATTTGCCAAAACCTCATGTTAGCATCAACCTTGTTGAATATCTTGGTACTGGCTAGTGATCCTAATATTTTTTGTACTGATGATAGGTTGACATATGTGGAAATATGCAACTAGGTCTACAGAAATGATCCTTCAAAATTTGCAAAGGCAAGTAATATTTGGTCCAGAGTGTGTTCCACTAGATTTTCTGGAGTTGCAAAACATGCTTCAGTAGGGTTTTCTCCACACTGGCTGCATTGTCGCTACCTGACCATTTCAGTCTGTCAGACCTTCTCAACTGCTTTTTCTAGCATTCTTTCCAATAAATGCAAGTTTAGAAGTCAGACAACCAAATGATCCTGGATAAGTACAGGTTTCAAGAACTAATAGTTGCAATGTTAAACTAATGTATATATGACTGTCACAAAAGAATCCACAGACTAGTTAGGTCATTGTTGCCTCCTGTTAAAGATTGCTCTCTCAGATTACATTTGTCTTCCCAATAAAAATTAATTAAACCCCCTCTTTAATAGCATCATAATCATTATATTATCCTGTTCAGACAAATTCAAATTCTGAAGTATCAGTAGAGAAATTACTTACCTGCATTTCCATCCATAATTTGTTTCTGACGCATCATTTTTCTTTCATTTCTGGATTCCTCTTTTCTCTGGCCTGTTTTGTCACGAGCAATTTTTTCCTGTGTCTCTTTTAGTTGTATATTTTCAATCAATGCTTGCTGTAATAATTAAATAAATAAATAAGTATTCAAGGCTTCTAACAGTAGTTGATTAAATCATTTTGAATACTTAACTGGAAACATTTAATTTTCACAGACTGCCATTTCTATAATTTATCTAGTTATCATTTCACACACAATAAAAAAAACTGCATTATTTCCTTTTTGTTGATAATCTTATCGGGCATATTTTCTATTTTAATTTTTTGTCAGAATTTTTTAGATGAATTATACTTTGCTATTCAGACCAACATGTTCATCTTGGTTTAAACTAATGTTTCTCGCATTGCACATTCTGGGCTTCTTCTTGTTACTTAATAACCGTCTTGGAATTCTGAACCAAACCCTTTATTCAATTCACAGGAGTAGATTATTCTATGCTTTAGTAAATACTCACCAGTCTTATTCACCCTTGTATCATTTTTGTTTCTTCTGCCGAACCAGGGATTGAACTCACATCTACCTGAAAACCCTATATGTTTCAACTAAAGCTTTAATCCACTAGGCTATGTGTCACTTGGACAGTCTAGTGTTGAAAATCTGGACCCTTAAACAAAGGTCTGTTACATAGGTGGTGGGACTGTATTAGTGTTCCTACTCAGACAATGGAACAGTTTGCAGTCTTACAGTGAGGCCCATAATATTAGGACTAGCTGCCATCAGCTGATCAGATTTATCTTAAGTATAAGCACCCACCCTAACAGTTAAGTCTATCCCACATAAAGAACTTTACCAACCTTGAGAGCATCAGATGGTCTCTATGTACATATCAACTATATCAATGAGGCTCTATCAAAAGTTTAAAACAGGTTAGAACAGGGACATTCGCTTTCTAAGAAAGTGCACAAAAGTCCCAATAAATAAGATGTCAACATCTTCATCAGGATGTGTGCAAGCTATACTTTCAATAGGGATCTGATGGGAAGGTAGCTTAGCTATTGGATTACTATTATCTCCAATAATGGCAAATGTATACAAAGATTACTTTGAGGAATTTGCTATAGAATTGTCACTGGTAAAGTCATCAATATTGCTAAGATACCTGGGTGCAGGAAGATATACAAATTCTGTTGGACCATGTGAGCTCAATAAAACCTTTCAGATGGTTCATAAAGCAGAAGAACTAGCCTTCTTGGATGTATTAATAATTCACACAGCGCGTGGAGTCTAGATATAGTAATGATATTTACAAGGCAATACTTGAACCTCAATTCCCATCACCAATATAGTGTTAAAAAAGGAAACATCTACTGTCTACAACAATGAGCTAAACCCATGTGGTGACCCAGACATATACCAACAGAAGATGATCAGTATTAGAAAACTTTCAGGGTAACAATTTGACAATTACCCTAAAAGAATAACATCTAGTTCTTTGAATGGAGACAGAAGTTAAAGACAAAAAATAAGAAATTAGCCTACATTTGAAGAATAATATTCTAAGGATTTGTGATCTATACAATATCAGGTCAGTAATCAAACATTGGAGATATCTTTCTCAAACTCACTCATGCAGCTGAGATAAGGAATACACTAGCAACTTTTTCAGTATAAAGATAAATACCATTTGGGAACATCTTAAAGAAAAGACATTGAAAAATCTTAAAGAAAAGACATTGAAAAAGTTCCACTACATAAGTACAGATGTTAGATTTAAAACTCCAGAATTTCTACACTATCTTATTCAATAAATACCTAGTCTAAAGGATTAAATCATCTGGTTTCTTGGTAGTTGCAAGTACTAAAATGTTTAGTGGAAGAAATGGTTAAGTGACAAAGATGAATAAGACTGATGAGTATTAAGTGACATGAAATATCATCTCAGCATGGAACAATCTATTCTGGATGGAATAAAGATTTACTTAAAAAATTCTAAGATGATTACAGGGTATGAAGACACCTGAAGAAGGTGGGAGAGTAGAATTTAAAAATGATGGTCTGAATAGCAAAGAAATTTGAGAATTTTTTGTCACTATTTCTACTGCTAAAAATTATTTCAATTATTCAGGGTATTCCAAGAAGCATGGGAAAGAAAATATTTTTAAAGACTTACCTATTTCATTTTAAAGAATTCTACATTAACTCATTAATGCTTACTACTTAATATACTGGGGCATGGGGCCTCATAGGCATTAGTATATTTAATGCTGGATTTTACAGTGGGCATTAACGGGCTTAAATGCTATGTAGATATTCAATAAACTTGTATTAAATGCCAGTTTCTACTTTGCTCTTCTTTTAACTTCATATTTTAAATATATCCACTTTCTACATTATCATAAAATTTTGTACCACAAACAAAATCTATAAGTACATCTGTGTAAAAATTTAAAAAAATACATTACTAGTGAATATCTTAGAATACCTGGAAATTATGTTGGAAATTGTTCAAATCATTAAGAAACTCTCCAGCAGAATATTTCTTTCTATCAAAACAATAGTATTTAGCCAATTCTGCATACTTGTTGTCCATCTGCTTGAACATTGTGTTTAAAATGTCATATTGTGCTTGAGCCTTATCCAGGAATGGTTCAAGTTTTTCAACAAACTTATCTCCCTCAATTTTAGAATTTGATGCATTTTTCAAATCCATTCTCAGTTGTGTAAGGCCTTTTCTAAAGGAATCCAAGTTCTTCTGTATTTGTTCTTCAGAACCTATGATGAGAAAAATAAAATTAAATATATTATAGTTATAACTGTTGTAGGAAAAAAAGAATTGATCAAATTCAAAATGTAAAGAAAAAAAACACACCATGAAGAAATTACAAGGTTCAAAAAGAACACTTCAAAAGTAAAACAGTATCTTTAGTAGTGGTGGCTGAATATATTATAATAAGTTAAATTGTAAGTGATAAATGTAGTAAAGTAGCTCAGGATTATTAAAATAAACATGGCTGGATAAGAATAATGTTTAACAGGAAATTATTCAAGCTACTTGGATTTAACCTACATATATTATATGAGCACAAAATGTTTTGGAGAACAGAAAAATGATTCTTTGGGACTTTGAATTTCAACAGATCATCCAAGTCAAGAGATTACATCTAGAAATATTAAAACAAATATCCATAGATATAGCCATTCCAGCAGAGAAAGTATTATCTAACATAGATCCAAAGAATTAAATGATTTAAAGAACAAAAGCATGAACTGATTGTGAAACTAAGCAATTACTTGGCTGAAAAGTATATGGAAATCATGAAGAATCCACAGAATTTAGCATGAATGAGATTTTCTCTGTAATGGTAAAACTAAAAGGAAATTTAATTTTTCAAAGATTATAGCACAATGTAACTAAAAACTTGGCTAGATTTTTATTTTAATATTAAATAAGAAAGAAACAAAATCAGAAACATGCAAGTGTAAATAATGGGACATTTCCAGAATTGAAGAATTATACGAAGAAAAAGATTTAACTTTAGCATTTGACTAAAAAATGAGGAAAACAAAAAAAAGATTCCTGAAATCTAAAGTGATACTCGCTTATTGAATGTAGTAACACACAAGTAATTAGAATAGTCTATTTTCAGACAATTCCAGATTTTGAATTATGATACAACTTTCTAGTGTTCAAAGAATTCTTTTCATTGTTAGCAGCTTCTAATTGTAATCACTGAACCTTCCAATAGCAACAAAATATTCAAAACTCATCTATTAATACATTTTACTCAATGGAGTTAACAGGGAATTTGTGTTAAGTCTTAAATGTTAACAGATAAGTTTAGCAACATTTTTAAAGTCATTCATAAGTTAATGAAAGACATCCAGAAATATACTTACTTTTTGAAGCCTTTTCTAAGTATGACAAATCATCCTTGAAATGTAATAGATGTGGGTAATTTTCTTGAATTACTTTGACAACAAAATGTAATAAAGTTAAAGTTCCATCCTGTGTTTTTGTATCTTTCAACTAATGAAAAAGAAAATAATTAAGAGATTAAATGGAGAAAAAAAATGTAAAAAGTAATTCTAAAAATGTAAAAATAATTTCATTTTACTTTCAGAACATTATATTCCTATTCCCATTTTCAAGAGTGGAATCTCTAGATTACATTTTATTTATATATAGATCATTTTCCTTGACTTTTCAATCTAAGCCAGTTGAAATCACTGTTTTAAAATAATGTGTGTCAACTTAAACACATGAACCCACCAAAAATAACATTTATAGTAATAATAAATAACCTTAAGTTAAAAAAAATTTTTTTTTTTTTTTAAAATAAAAGGCACAGAAAGGATTTTTTTTATCATTGCAAAATTTACTTGAAAAATTGAGAAATTAAAATGAGATTTACAAATTTTTAAAGACAAGAAATATAATGTAAATAAAAAACAGCAAAATAATACTCAAAGTTAAATTACGATGCAAAATGCTAAAAAGTTTTGTACAATTTATTTAAGCAATGATCTGTATTAAAACTGTATTAATTACATTTATCAGCCTGAATGCTCGAGAAATTTCACAAAAGATATGCGTTCTGACAGGAATCAAACCTGTATTCCTATACAGAAAAATTGCAAAACCTAATTTTACAAATGCTTGTGAAAGGACATTCTTTTAAATAATTTAAAATATTAGGGTGTAAATTTATTATAATGTAACCATTTTTTTTTTAATGATGCTGTTTTTGTGAAAGAAAATATCACATGTTTTGCCATTAAATTTTTATGTTTCCTTAAACATGTTTTGGGAAAAGAAAATACTAATTAAGATATTTTAAATGTCTACACAAACATCTTTACCTTTCATTAGCAATTTTATTTCTTTAATTCCTACATATGAGCTTTTTCAGAAAATCCTAATTTGAAGTAATTTGATAAGCATAGGATTATTGAATGGAATTCTCAATTTGTTCCAATTAAAAAAATATTCTTGTCCTTTGTGGAAAATTATTAAACAAAGACACTTTAAAAACAAACTTACTTTGTTGAGATAATTTATTTCAAATCCAATAGATTCAGCATTTCTTGATCCAGAATTCATGTAATTTCCAATACTAAGAATTAATGTCATAACTTTTGAAAAAGTAGTACTATTGCGAATTTGATCAAAGGCTTCTGTGACTGCCACAATGTTCTGTTTGGGAGAACAAAAAGAATAAGAGATATTTTTATTATTAGATGCAAACAATTTTTTAAATACATTTATCACAGTACATATTCAGAAGAAAGTTTTAGATTTCAATTTAGAACATTTTTGGCAACAAAGATTTCCTCGAGTAAGATGTTCTTCAATATTTATTTTGGAATTCATTTTAGAGGCTTTTATTCAATATTCCATCGTTAATTATTATTACATTTCTTCTTTGGATATTAAATTATACAAATTTGAAGTTTTTTCAAACTTCAAATTGCATCTAATTCAAACAACCTAAACCAAATATTCATGAATACAAAAATACAAACAGCATATAATATGAAAATAAAATATATATATATATATATATATATATATATATATATATATATAAAATATATATATATATATATATATGCAGTGTTTTGTTGTGTAATAAACACCTATGCCACACCTTGTCAAAGGCCTTCAGATATCTAAGATGATCACTCATGATGTTTATTGTCCAGCACTTCACTTGATTCTCTGTATAATGATAGGTAAAACAGCAGTGGACCTAGAGGAGGATCCTTGTTGCTCAGGACATTGTTTCTGTTGTGGTGATCAACAACTTTCTTAGTGCTATGAGAAAACTTTGAGATGATCATTAAGGAGGCTGATGGGGGCTATATTGTAATGGGGGAAGAGTGCTCACCCACATTCTTGTAAACAGGACATACAATTGATATGTTCCATGGCTTTGAGAAATATTTCTCCTTCAGGCAGTAGTTAAACAGCTTTGCCAAGATTAGAGATAGCTCTGGGCTAAGGTTCTTTATTCAGACTAATAGCCTTCATGTTGTACCAAATCATCTGGTCTGTCTTCCATGGCTTTGAGAAACATTTCTCCTTCAGGCAGTAGTTAAACAGCTTTGCCAAGATTAGAGGTAGCTCTGGGCTAAGGTTCTTTATTCAGACTAATAGCCTTCATGTTGTACCAAATCATCTGGTCTGTAAATTACTTGTCTATTTTTTTCTTTTGAGAAGTTTCTGAAACTGGACATTTTTTTTAATTATTTCATCCAAAGCAAAGCTACTAAGATGCAAGGGTTACTGATTGTGAAAGAATATAAAAAAAAAAAAAAACATTGAAGGAGACAAAACAATAATAGAGAAGGAATTAAAACAGAAGATAACGATTGACACTGCATTTAAATATTTGAGGATCAAAGTTTGACTGGAAAGCAAGAAGCCAGAAGAGAAGTGCAAGAGAAGAAACAGTATCTATCACAGCTGTTTAAAACCCTTGTTTTTGTTATATAGGAAAATCCAACATGACACATAAACAAAATATTCGGCGAAAAATCCCATTCATCAGTAACATTTTAAACATCTCATAGAATGTAAAGTTCTTAAAGCAAACCTGTTCCAAAGTGTTTTCCTGAATCCTTGATGACTTGGCTGTCCGAAAATGACAACATCAAGATGAAATAATGGAAACTGACTGTGAAAAACAATTATACACAACAAGTTTTCAATCAATCAGTAAACTTCTGGACCTTTTTGGCTGACATTATAGGATTCAGATGGCTATTGTTTGCACATGGAATTATTCACTGGTAATTAATCTTCAATTTGGCTGTGGAAAATGTCACTCAGTGGTTAGCATTAAAAAATGATGCCCAATTTTCTGAGAAAATTCACTTTTTTTTTATGAAAAAATATTTATTTTCCCTTCAAAATAATATCATTCAAACTTCATCCCTTTCTCCTTAATTTAGTATGAACATCACTGAATAAAAGGAATGTCTAAATGGCCTGGTGATGGGAAATACGAAAGACATGCATCGAAAAAAACAATGTCTGCTAAGTGTTGTTGTCATCACCCAGGTCACGTGGTGTTAAAAACAAAACAAATCAAGCCATTGTTCAATCATAGGTTTGAAAAAAAAAAAATAAAAAAATAAATAAAAAATAACCACTTTTAGATAAATCTTTTGCCTTTTACTAAAGATTTCCATGGCTGGGTGTCAATTTTTTTAACCCCTGGCAGTAATGTTGATTTCCTTTAAAACTCTCAATTTTATGTTTGAAATAGTTTGATTATGATTTAGGCTATCTGATTTAAAAAAAAAAAAAAAAAAAAAAAAAGTTTAATTTCCCATTAATGGGGAAAATTTTTGTTAAAAATGCAAAATTTTCACTATTTTTTCACATTTTACTCCCTGAAAAAATTTTGAGTCATTTACACCAGCCAATTTTACTTTTAAATGAAAGAATATATCCTTTACTTTCAGAAAATACCTAGTTTCATGGGGTTCAGATCAAAAGTTTCCTTGATATTTGTTCAGATAAAGACAAAAGTCATTTTTCAATATTTTACCCCTATAAAAGTATGAAAATTCATTTTTTTCAAAGAAAATAAGCTGTGACAAAATGACTTTTGCCATTTTTGTGATGATTTTTACTTGGGATAGAAAATTTTTATCATAGCAAATCTGAATTGAATTTATTTAAGTTCAGTGGGGCTATAGGAAACCTCAAACAGTTGTGCTATACTCTGTTGGGCTTTTAACACTGGTTTCAGAAAATGTGATGACTTCTATTGCATAACAGTATAATTTGAAGAATATCCTGCCAGAATAGTGCACTTGTTTTAGGGAGTTGCTCATTCTCATAATTTTAGAATAAATACTAATGTAAGGATGCTAAGCTGTCCACAGATTAAGGTTGATTCATGCAATAAATTTGAAATATGAACCCTAACCCTAACCATTTTTAATCTGCTCACTGATTTCTTCATCTCCCATTAATTGGAGCACATTTATTACATGTGACTGAGATTTGATTAATACTTTTCAACATGATTTTTTTGTATAACCTGAAAATTTGCAGGTTTCATTACACCTTGCCTGAAAGTCAAGCAATAATTTGCATAGTTCTCCTATGTTATTATGTACAATATGTAGTGAGGTCACAAATAATGGTCCTAAAAAATTGTACAGCTGCATATTCAATCAAAGTAAGTTGAGCAAGAGAAATAGTAGTGCATCAGTGTCAGAGCAAGATATAACTAAAACACTAAATGGATTTCACCTTTCTAGGACATGCGAGTGATCTGTGTCTCATCCAAATCAAATATTTGTGATGTAGGTAAGTCTAAGACACTGCAGAAAAATGTAGAGGGACTTATTTTCCATGAAAACAGAAAAATGAAAGCCTACTTGAAATGGAAACTGATTATGAAATGGATATTTTTCTTTTTTTACAATCAGATTTGTCAACTGTCATTTTAATTTGTTACTATGTTTGCCCTTCCTAACTCTGACAGACATCAAAGGATAAAGTTGGTAATGTTTTAATACATCCCCCCCCCCCGCCTTACCTACTGTCTCCCTATAGTTTACAGTATTTAGGAACCCAGTTTTACAAATTTGGCTTGATTTAATAAAATAAAAAAAAAAGTGGTGGGGGTGATTGGCAAATAATTTTGTCTTTTTGTTTTATCCTTTCTTTTTCCTATTACACATGGTGAGGGTGTGGGGTAGTTTGTCATTGTACAAAGCCAAATTTTATGAGAGTTTTTTCAAAAATGTTATTTAATAATTTCAACAAAGTGACCAAACAATGATGTCTTTTGTCTAGTTGACTTTGTGATGTTACTTTCAATTAATTCTGTAGCATTCTTTGTAAAAGTTGTCCCAGAAACTCATCAAGTTCATAAAGGGCTGAAGTATGAACTACAAAACTATCAAGCTGGAGCAACTTATCCAGTGGATGGATATTTCAGCAAGCAAAATTGTTCATTTTCTTTTTATTTTCTTGTTTTAATAACATTCATATATTGTTACATTTTCTCACTAAATATTATAATGAAGCAAAAACAAATCTATACTGAAAACGGGGAGGAGAGGCAATTCTATACTAAAAATGGGGTGGGGAAGGATTCCTTAAAACCTGAAAAGGAATTAAGGAAAATTTGAAATGGAAAATTGGTCTCTTAAAAATGGAAGATCACTGGCAGCACTTATTAGACTTAAGTAGCTAGTGAAATCATTCATAGCTGTAATGTCAGGAAGAAAGTTCCTTGTACAGTGTAACCCGGATATAAGAGAGTTGTCGGGACTGGAGAAGAAGTCTCTTATATCCGGGTTTGGTCTATTTTGTTTAGGTAACACAGGCTCTAATTTGGGACCAGAGAAAATCTCTCTTATATCCAGGTTTCTCTTATATCCGTGTTACACTGTAGTCAAATATTCAATCATCCTTTAATCATCAAGATTCCCCATCAATTCTGTCTATTCTAATCATAGATTTCAACAATTTGCTGATGCATCTATTATTGGCAGCTTTCTTTTCATCATTGGACCCCAAATTGACACTGTACTCTAAATATTCCTCAAAGTTATACAGTTTTTCACTTTCCTCCACTACAGAAAGAAATTCATCTGCTAAGTTCTTTATCAAGAGTACTTTATTGGTAAATAATATCAAAGTTTTCAAAATTTCTAATATTTATGGATAATTTCTGACATCTTGTTTCTGCTCTCATTAATTCATACATTTTTTTTGAATGAGTTAATTGTTAATTTAATAACAAACATGTTCAATTATGTTTCCTCATCTCTGAAATTGTAAGAAAGTACTGATCTAATGCATGTTGATTATTGTCAATTCCTTTAATTCCACCAGTCACCTTTATAATATGCGATGGTTGACACTAATGGTGGAAATAGAAATGGAAATTTTCTTTACTAAAAATTACCCTCACTTTGTTCTTCAATAGGAATATCTCTGCAATATACAGCATCAGAGATTTCAAAAGAGGCATGTAGTTCCACAAAAACCTTGAATGGTTTCTTAATGTCAATTGTTTTCCTCTCAGGTGACATGACATCATTTACCTTATTAGCTTTTTTAAAATGTAGATATTTTTTAAAAGGGATTATTCCATTCAATTGGGTGCCCAATTAATGATAAGCTGCCAAAAGAAGTGATTGGCATTTTTTTTGTTTGTCAAGGAATTATCAGTGGCCATGTTAGAATTTTGGATCCTAAGCTGCTGTACAAATACTTCAAAAAGAACCAAACCATGGTACAAGGTAAGGTACATGCTTGTACAAATCATACTAAAATGGCTTAACATGAATAAATAATGTTTGATCTGCATTTTAAACTAATTGTCTTATGATCTCTATGAAAGAAAATATAACCTTGAACAAATAAGAGTCACATGTAAAATATTAAAAAATTGCTTATACAGAAATGATGCTAGCTACTGAAATTAAAGTTTTTCAAAAAAATTATAATTTACAGACTGGACTAATATTTGGTCATTAAAATATAAACTTATCCAGACATAGAAAAATATAGAAACATTAACTTTTTGATGACCTGATTCTATTTTGATGATTTCATATTAAAAAATAAATATAAAATAAAAAATAAAATAAATAATAGTAAGAATAATAATAAAAAAAATAAAGTAACAAATAGAATAATAAAGTAATAAAAATAAGGTCTATGTGCTTTTATTTGATATTTGATATTATTGTGCATGAATTTGTATCTGTTTTTGCCTTTAAACCACCATTTTGTTTTGGTCTGTAAAATGCATAAATACTGGGAAGAAAAATTGGAAATATATTTTCCTTATACTTCTGGTCTAAGTAACAAATTTAAAAAGATAAATCAAAGAAAGACACTTTCACACAGGGAAAAATTTAGAAAATTCAAGAAAATTTAGCCCACATTGAATTGGAAATTTCAATTTATAAAAATTGTGAGAGATTGAGGGGAAAAAATTTAATGAAGATTTGAAGTTTGTAAGAGAACACCTCAACAACCTTGTTTAAAACCTGCAAACTTTAGTGTATCCATTTGAACCATTTTAAATTATTTAATAGTAGTTGATAAAAAATATTTTCAGTTGTTTGAACTAAATAAATAAAAAATAAAATAAATAGGCAGAAGCCTGCTTTAAACTTGTTCAACAGAATGAAATACATTAACATCTAATAGCTGAAAACGAGTATTTTCTACAATAAATTCATTTTACAACAATCACTTTTCTTGTTAATACACTTAATCCAACATTCTCCATAACAAAAAAAAAATCATTTTTCTAAATTCTTTAGCTCAAAATTCAGGTAATGATTGTCAGGTTATGAGATTATTGATCTATAGTTTTAGATAGATTTTTCTCATCATCCTATCACTTGGGGTACAAAACTGATTTTATACATATAATTTGAGAAAGTGGGCCCAATGATATAGATTCCTGAAAGAAAAGATTAAGCATTCATTTTCATTCAAGTGGACAGATATAACATTTTTTTTTAAATGTAGGCATAGATATACAGACGGTGATATGTAAACTTATTTTTCTTCTATGCAAAATACCATCCAGTTTGACAAAATAGAACAGGTGCAATTTTATTGTAGAAAATGATAACATGAATAAAAAAAAGAGACTTTTCAAGTATTATTTGAACAGTTGAACCCCTTTTTTGGCAAATTTGATGTTAACATGACATTTTATCTGATCCATTCTTTATCCCTCCGTAAAAGAAGAAAAAAAAATAAGATAAAAGTTGGAAAGTAGATTAACCAAAATATTGACTTAACAGAAAGAGATTCAATTGTCTAAAGATTATTGGAGATGTTAATGACTTCTCAAAGATAGGAGCATATTGCTACCTATCTATCTTTTTCTTTCTAATCTACTTACATTAGAATCAAAGTATTCTATAGTCAAGGTTAGACCAAAGTCTAATAAAATTTCAATTCTTTAAAAATTTCTTTAAGGGAAAAGGACTACTTTCATCCAAGTGTTATAAATGCAGAGAAACTGGACAAAATATTTTGAGAAAAAAAAGTTTTCTGGGACTTAAAAAAAAAAAAAAAAAAAATTACTGTATTTAACACATTGCTACAACACAATATACATCATGTTATTGCATTCAATACATACATATGTATATTACATCAAGTTTTACCAAGGTATTTTATTATTTCTGTAAATAAAACAGATGAGATATTTCTTTTTAACTCTCAATTTGTAAAGTTGTTTTTGATTAAAAAAAACAAACAAAATAAGTTAGTGCCCAAGATGCTCATTAGTTATTCTTTATAGTTTAACAGATTAAACTGACCAAAATAAAGCATAAGTAGTCTTGTATAACAATTTCTTGTATAGCACTATGTAAGGGTTTAAACATCCAAAGTAGCCAAGATCATGCTAATAACTTGAATTTTATTTATCAAAATAAAGCAGAACTAACCTTATAAACAAACTCCAAATAGGAAAAACAGATGGCAGTATTTAAGGGTTCATATATCCAAGGTAGCATTTAGTCAATTGTCAATTTTGAATACTATGATAATCTATGTAAAATGAATATCTTCAGTCATTTAGTAAAAATTCATGCAAATATGAAGCTTCATGGACAGATTCAGATACTAATGCAGATCATTCATTTAATTTTTTTTTTTTTTTTCAATATTTTCAATATTTAAAATCATGACAATTTTATATAGTAACCATTTTCAATCAAAATGAATTATGAAGCACTTACAGGTTTGATGTCATTGATAATTTCATCATATTTCACTCTAAACAGCAATGATGAAACTCTCTGGTTCACACATTTGATATCAGATATCTACAAATTAATGAACAAATCAAAGAATATTAGATCATAAAAACTTAAAGAAATAAGTATATAAAAAGTGAATTCTTTAAAAGAAGTCTGTTATAATGAAAATAGTAAATTTTCTAAGATAAGCATGGATATGTACATTTAAGAGAATTTCTATATAGTAATGATGCTTAGTTTGTGAAGACAATGAAAAATAAAAGCACTCTTCTGTTAATAACTTTCCTTAATTATAGATTCTTCTTGATTTTTCAAAGAAGAGACTGCTTTTATGCAAAATCAAAAATAAGATATAACTTAGCAAAACTATTTAAATTTCATTTAAATTTCTCACCAACAATAACATACAAAATGTAATAAAATCTTATTTTTTCATTAGTAAAACAAATTTAATTACTCACCACAACTGTAAACTGTTCTGACTCTGCTAAATTGTCATATTGATCTTTCATGTTTGATAACTGAGAAATAGCATCTTGAGGTGGGAGATAATTCAGAAGTTGTTCTAGAACATGTTGCGATAAATTCTCCAAGTCAACTTGTAAAATACGTCGTCTAATTTCTTCATATGGAAGTTTTACAGAACCAAGTAATATAGCTGCAGGAGACAAAAGACAAATAACATTAAGTATTTTAATTAACAATATGATTATTATTTCATACTTGTTTTAAGGCTATATCCATTTAGGATGTAAGCAATCCTGGCTCTCCACAGATTCTTTTGCTTCATTATTTGTGAATTATAATGACTTTTTGGAGAAGATAGCATAACTGTTTCCCTATAGTTTTTAATTCAGAATCATTCAGACTGGCTGCCAACCAAGTCTAGAGTACCCAGTCTACCATGGTAATAACCCCATAGTTGGATAGAAGAGATGGATATATTTTTCCAAAGAGAATTAATAACAAAGTGAATAGAATGCATTAAACTAGAACATGAAATCTGCTTGCCAATTACAATTTTTGAACTTCTAACCATTATGCAAACCACACATTTTATTTCTATTTAAATTTTATGTATAAATTTTAATCAAATAAAAAATTTGGAATGGTAAGGAGGAGGTTAATTTATATCATTTAGTGTGTGCTCAAGTTTAATATGTAAAAAAGAAAATAAAAAAGACTGAATATATAGCTTGCAATTATAGTTATGTTTATATAAGTATTGATAGAAAACATTGCCTTTATATACAATGTTGTAAGGATAATAGCGATAAGTGTAAATATTAATAAAACCAAAGAGACTTGATTGTTAATCCAATTAGGTACAAGGATGTTTACATTTATCCTTTCTCCATGTAGATAATGTTTTGAAGATGATGACAAACATGGAAATATAAAAAACAAAATAAAGAGCAACAAAATCAACCAGTTACACAAATGAAGCTATTCATTAGGTACCTCCACTTTTTCACAGAAAAAGAGCATAGCATAATGAAAAAGGTCACAAACTTAATAAAAAATAAAGTTTTATTGTCAAAATGTTTATGTTATTATTAAGATGAAAGACCAAAGTATTTTTTTTTATTATTTTTTAAAATTTTTCAATTCTTTCTAACATGTTTGAAATTTTGGGCAAAATCTTGTTTTGTTTACATCACAGGGATGGCACAATAATTACATTGACTTTTTTATGCTTTTTTTCCCCATTGAAAACAAACTGATTTGGAAATTCTTGTAAAAATCAAATAATTCTCTGATTTTAATGAAACTTTCAGGACTTATTCACAAATGAATTAAATTATTTTTGAAAAAAAAAATTTTTTTTTTTAAGATATGTTACCCCCAATTTCTTAATTTCATGAAATTTTGCAAAATACCTTTCTATTTCTTGAATTTTTTTTATTCGTTAAAAGTAGGACTCTTTAGAGAATGTAAATCACGTAATCTTTTTTTCAAACTTGCATTATTCTAACTGAAAATCTGCTCTGAATTGTAAAATAATAAATGCAATAAAACTATGACATTATTTAATTAGAAAAGCTTTTAAATGCTTTTGTAAACAAGTTATATTAAGGACACTATTTTCTGAAGAAATAAAATTTTTCTAATAAATAATGAATTTTTGCAAAAGTTTTTTCCATTTTTTTTTTAATTTTAATTATAATAATTTATAATAGTTTAAAATCATGTAAAATTCTGTATTGTGTTATTTCCTGAATGTGATATGGTAATTAAGTGGAAACGAAATTTATGAATCCAAAATTGAAAAGATTAATAAACGTAGTTACACTATTCTATTTTTAAAATAATTTTTTTTTTTTTTTTATTTAATTTGTTACCTTTTTTTATCTATGAAATTAGCCTTTCATAGATAAAAAAAGGTAACAAACATTATTATGAAAAGGTCACGTAATCTAAGAGTTTGTCTCTTTACAGACAAATTCAATTAAGAAAATTTTAGGGTATGCTTTATGCTTTATGCAAAAATAAATTTTTGCATAAATAAATTTTATGCTTTATGCTTTATGCAAAAATAAATTTTTTTTAAAAAAATTTATTTTTGCATAAAGCATCTTTGAAAGGTAAATAAAAGCCAATGAATTATTAGATAATTGCAGAAAATATGTTCATTTGTAAAAATTACTAAGTTAAAAACCAAAAAAAAAGCATTCACTTAGATTTCAAAAATTTATGTCAATTCTAGTCAGCCATACTAGCTGTCATCACTTTGTCACTGAATTGTCCATCATTGCCTCAATAAACTTGTTGTAAATTTTTTTTGAAATAAATAACAAAGATTTAAAGCAAAAAATTAATTTAACTTTAAATTTTCAATTTAATGAAATGGTCCAGAAATATATATATATATTTGGAAGAGTTTTAAAATAGATAAATTTGTTTTGTTTACAAATTTCTTAAAACTAAGAAAATGGCTGCTTTTAAGAAATCGAAATTAAATTTGACATTCCAATCTATATAATTTCTATCTGAAATACATCAGAATATTTTACTTAATGAAAATAATAAATCTTATCCTTTAGCTTTCAATTAAAGTTAAAATGAAATGTTTAAGAATGCTTTTTCATTTTTAAAAATTCATTTTAAACCTTAGGCATTGAAAATTTATGCTGAAAATGTGGAGGTACCTACTACTCACATATTCAAGTAGATTGTATAGGAAAACTTACACAAATTTTGTGCTGCCTTTGCATCAAGGACTTTCAACTCTTTTGTTTTCTTGAGAGGCTTTTCTTTAACAGATTTTTCTGAAGTTTAGAATTAAAATTAAAAAAATAATTAAAAATAAAAATTATTAAAATTAAAAAAAAAAATTAAAAAGAAAATTATTAAGATAAAAAAATTAAAATAAAAAAATTATTAAAATAAAAAATTTTAAAATCTTTTTAAAATTTAAAAAAAAAAAATTTAAAAAAATTAAAATTTAAAAAAAACTTTAAAAAATGTTTTAAAAATCCATAATGTCAAATTACATCTCAGTATAACTAATTAGGAAATGTAATAGAGAGTAAGTACATTAGTGCTTTTTTACAGAAGTCATTTTTATAAAGCATCATGAAAAGATTTAAATTAAAATATGAGCTAATTATTAAATTGATTTTTTTACTACACACACAAACACAATTTTCTTTCTTTTTATTTTTAAGGAATGCCTTTCTAGATTTTAAAATAAAATTCAATTTCACAGCTACAAAATGAAGTAAGACAAATATAAGTAATAAAAAGGTAAACAAGAATATATCTAGTTGGGCAGAAACCAAGATTCAAATCAGCCTGTCCTTATGAAAAGGATTAAATAAAAAAATTATCACAGATTTAAGTTCAGAAATGCATAGTCACCTACCTAAATACAAACTTTACATACCAAATTATTTTTCACACCTCAGAAGGAATACAAAAGTTATCATACTAACCAAAAGCATCAAATTTAACAATGTAAAAGAAAATTAAATAGTATCTAAAAAGAATTCAGGATAAGCAGAATTGAATAAACCATATAAATAAGGGACGACTGACAAGAAAAATAATATCCAGTTGATTTTTTTTTTATAAGGTAATCTATAAAACATAACTATCAGTCACACAACTTGTTCTCATTATTAATGATATTTTGTTATGTTTAGAGGAGGAATGATTACTTGTCTATAATAAGTAAGCATATTTCATGTTAAGAAATATTAGAATATTTAATAAATAGAATAATGTTAGAATATTTTATTAGCAAGTAAAGGAGATCCAGATGTTATTACATTACTCTTCATTTCTTTTGTTTCATGTTAACTTGCTTTGAATATTTTTATTTTACAGATTTAAAAATAAATTCTTTCTTAAATGTAATAATAGTTAATTGTATAGATAAAAATACCAGATGATTCATTCAGAAAACAACCAAAGTAATTGCAAATTAATGTCGTTTATAGCATAATGGTTAAACTTATATTTATAAATCATTAACAGAAACTTAAAAGGAGAAAAAAATATTTCAACTTTAATAAATAAGCAATAATATTTTTTTCAAAGCAACTAAAATACTAAGAAATAATTACAAATTCAATTTATAAAGAGAAAGAATATCAAAAAGCAAAGAGGTATTAAAACAAAATAAAATAAAAGTAAGACAATAGAATGGGCAGAAGTAAAGAAACAGTCTTTGATAAAGAGCTGTACAAAGATATGGTTATATTTAAGTGTTAAAAGATTTGGATATTAAATAAAAAAAAACTGAATAACATTCAATTATTGCAAGTAATTAACATGTAAGCAAAATTAATTAAGTGCCACTAGTTGATCAATTCTAATAAATTTTGTTAGTTGCAGCTGCAAAATCAGTACATATTTTTATCCTTTTGAATAGTGAGAACAAACTAGTCATGTACAGATAAACCAATTATTTCAGCTATCAAGCAAATTATGTAGATATCAAACGTTTGAAAATTTTAAAAGGTTAATCATCATTATTACTGGAATAATCATCTAAAGAATTTTTTCTAATATCTAAATCAATTCTTTTTTTTTTTTTACTACACACACACACAATTTTTTTTTTAAATGAATGCCTTTTTCTCTATAAGAAAAAAAATGTTCTGATGCAAAAGCTAAAGCTTAGTTTACAATTTAAAAATAGAATGTTTATAAAAAAAAATGTTAAATAACATTACATGCTTTTCTCTCCTATAAAATAAGGTATTGATAAAACATTTAAAATAATGATATTTCCTAAAAAAAATAAAAAAAAACATTTTTGAGATTTTCACTGTAGAAAGATTTCAAATTCATCACAATGAGGAATAATTTAGAGAAAAGGCTTCTTTTGAGCTATTTAAATTCGAAAATAAGCAAGACAGCTGTAAAAATTTCTTTTCCTTTTTAAGAGCAATTTTTTTTAAAAAAATTATGCTGAGGAAGTGTTTTTTTTTAAGTTTGTTTTTAAGAATCACATTTTAATTTTTGTTTCAATTCACTTTTCCTTGTCTGAGAAACAAATACAAATGAAACAAAATACAATAACCATTGCCTGAAAAAAATCAGACAGGAATAACAAAAATTTGTATAATAATATATATATATATATATATATATATATATATACACACACACACACACACATAACTATATATTCAAAGAACCTCATGTAATGCATTAAACTTTGAATAGTACAAAATCATCTTTTCATATGAATTTAATTTACAAGTTAGGCAAATTGAGATACAAAACAATTATAACAAACAATAGATTAAGTGTTAGAAGATTAATTCTTAACATTGCATACATTTTTTTAAAATTATTTATTAAGTTGAGAATTTACATTTTCTCAACCACCCCCTATACACACACACACTTTACTTTGGGATATTTGTATATTAACCATCACTACTACTTTTGTATTTTGGAATTATTAAGTAAAAGTCATGAAATTTGATTTTAATTACAACTACAGATAATAAGAGACTACACTATAATTCCTTTATACTAGTAAAGAGAAATGTTAAAAAAATGAAAATATAGTATAATGGCAATCTAATTTTAAGTATTTGCATTTTATTAACATGAAATTTAAACTATAATTATTTTTCTATAAATTGTTCAAGAATTCATAATTTCTAAAAATCAGCATTCAATTAATGTTGTATAATGGTAAAGTATTCAGTAAGACAGAAGAATAAGTCAAGACCATACATCCGATTTTTGTGTACATAAAACGAGGAATATTCTGCTGCAAAGAAAATACAATTTAAAACAAGAAAGCTACAACTATCATTAAGGCCATTGAAATATTTAGGTGAGAAAAATTACAAGTTCAAAAAGCAAAAACTTTAGTTTCACTTCATAATAGTTCCTTATAAAAATTCAACTTTAAAAAATTTAATTAGATTTTCTGTGAAATATAAAATCTACAATGAGAAGCAATTCTACAAGTTAATCATTTATCATTGTAGAGTAAAATTTGTTGATAGATCAATAAAATATAGATCAATAGCCTTATATTTAAGCATGCAAAGGTTTTAAAATAAAACATTTTTATTTAAAATATTTATTTATATTAATTTCTATATAATTATTTGAATCTTGTTTAACAGAAAAAAATGACAATTTGTGACAATTTTATATTAACTCAAAAAATAAGAGATTTAATCAACAAAACAATTTAACTTTTTAATAATTGTTCAGTAAGTAGGTCATTCATTAATCATTTTTTTTTTGCAAGAAATCCTAATTACAAATGCTAAATTGTTTTCTTTTGATATTTTTGTGTGTGTAGTATATATATATATAAATATATATATATATATATATATATATATATATATATGGTACACACACACACACACACACAACACACAACACACACACACACAACACACATCTCACAAAACAATCATAATAAACAAATTTTTTGCATCGAAAGAGTATTTTTTTTTAAGAAAATCCTTTGTTTCTATTATCTTTTAAAAATTTCTAGAGGTCACATACATTTTTGAAAATTTCTTGCAGTTGATTTTGTAAATTTCTGCTTCAAATAATTATATAGAAGTTATTTTTTTTTTCTGCTATAAATAAATATTGTAATTAAAAAAAAAAATCAAAATAAAACATTCACAAAAACCACATAGACAAGACAACAAAAAAATTGTTGGAGATTTATAATTCATTATTTCTTTTTTTTAATTCTAGTTAATGAACTAATTGATTTAATGCAATTTATCTTCAAGTTAATGGATATTTAATATGTTAAATTTAGTGTCGGTGCTCCACCATTGTGACACCTTGCAAAATACTAATATGGATAGTAACTGATTCAAAGGGGATTTTTAATTTTGAATACTGACACTTAAAATTTTGGTAAAAAATATTGGGGAAGGAAGGTAAAATTTGAATAAATAAACTTCCAACAACTAAAATTCAATTCAAAATTTTAGACTAATAAATTACTTTACTCCAAGTGGAGAGACAAACAAATAAGAGGTAACAAACAAATAGCCCCAGAGAAAAAGATATCTTAACACAATATCTGTTTCTAGAGTTAACTAATGTGTACACCTTATTAACTTATTGTCTAGAGATAGGGGTGTGAATTCAACCAGGGAAGGTGCTGTAGGTAAATCCTACTTTAAAAAGAATTTTAATTATAAAAATTATTTTCAAAGCAAGCATTAATAAATACTATAGGAAAAAGATGAAAGAAAATTATTTTTATTTTGAAATCTAAATGCTGGAAATGTTTTTAGTATTGTAGTGTAGAGACAAAATGACAGAGACAAAACATAAGCATGCTACAACAGTTTACAACAGGGAAGGGACCCCTATCTAACTTTTCAAATGTGCAACACAGTGAAGGAAGTGGGGTGGGAGGAAAAATGAATGACAGAGCACCTGTTCCAAGTGGGACGGATTCTAGCAAAGAAAAATGAAAACACTTAGATGAAAGGAATCATTGTGAATGTTTGTCGACACTGGGCTTCAAATAATGTAAGAAATAAGCAAAATAAAGAGCATAAATATTTCCTAAGATTTATATTCAGGTACATAAAAGGTTATAAAAGATTAAAGACAAACAAAAATCTCAATTTTCAATCAAACATTAAAAGATACCAAAAGGAGAATACCAATGTTACTGTGAATGTTGAAATCTCAAATACTTTTCAATAAATATATATCCTATATTAAAAAAGTTTAAAAGGTAGATTTATATATCAAAAGTCTTGTGAAAGCAAAAGCCATTCTGAAGCATTAATAATGATTATCATTT